GGCGTCTCCTTCTTGCTGTGGGTTATGCACACCCGGGTTTTTTTTATTATTTCAGGGTAGGTCAAAGAAATGAGCTGGATATAGAGGATGAAGGCATTCTAGTGCACGTTCGCTTTGCATTCGTGTACGTATACGTCATATCTCTAATTATGTGTTGTTGTTTTTTGTTTTTCGAATGTTTTCCTCGAATTATCTACCTGGAGTAAAATATAACCATTTTACGTATTTGAATTATAACGACGATTACTATTGGACGACTTGTAACGGATATCTCCGCCAGGGTAGTTAAATATTGTGCCGTTTGAGGTTTGTCAAGTACACTGTATGAGGTAGGTAATTGTTTTTAAAATTAACCCCTTTATGCTGCGTTACTATGCGTTGCGTTGTAAGCGTTTCGTTGCGTCGTTGCATTTCATGCCATCACGGTAACCGCACCATAGCCTATCGTAAGAAATAATCAAAAAGCAATTCTTGGCAGGTGTACGTCTTTTTCTGGGAGGTTCTCTTACATCGATGACAACGACCTTTCTGTGGTTTCTGATGTTGTTGCTAGAGAACCATGGAGCGCAAGCTACCTTCAACGTTTACAAAAATACAGGTATGTTTCATGAAATTGTACTTAACATGTCTATTACTTATAGACAATATCTTGAACTATTGAATGCAAATAAAAAACAAATTATTACGCCCTCGCGTTGTGTATACATATTACATTCTATCTATAGCAAAGATCACCATATGTATGAGGTTTGCGGACAATTACTTGGTGAGCTGACTGTGGAAGGAGAGCCGGAGAAGAAGCTGCTGTTAAGAGGAGTCAGGGAGCATGCCTGGGGCATCCGAGACTGGAGCACATACAACAGATACATTGCTAACTGGGGATATCTGGAGGTTAGCAGCTTGTTTCCCCTCTTAGTGTTCTCATAGAGTGATACGCAAATTACGCGCCAGTGGCGCCATTCCTTGCGAACACGCGCGAAATGGTATTTCTGATAAATCACTAAGATATTCCCATCAATGTATTGCCGGATACTGTTAACTGATATATAAATGTTCGAATGTCATTTTAATCTTTGTACGCGAAACCCCGACAGCGTGCATGTTTTGATTTTGACTCTAATAGTTCACTACTTGTAAAAAGTTCTCCACGACAGCTTGTCGATCTATTAATTATATTTCTTGAAGGATGGAACAATCTTCTCCTTTTTGGCAGCAAGTCTTCCCTCACTTGCCTCCCAGTAAGTACAAGTTCCAGTTTCATATGATATGATATCGGTATAAAATATAAGTATCCATGATAAACACTTATAGCTTATTTGCTTCTAATGATATTTCTACATAACTTAAGATTTTATATAATCGAAAGATATATTCAATAGGCGAGTAATACATGTAAATGTTTTTCTAAACTCAAATAATAATTATGCGTGGCTTCTCGTTACCATAAGAGTATAGGTTTTTAACACCAACCATACAACCAGGGTTAAATAATCTAAAAAAAAAAATTTTGAGATAATTTCGATGATTTTGAATTTATTTAATCCTGATACAGCCTAGTCTTATTAAACACCTCAACTAGTTATTATCGTATTTTGGGCTCCTTTTTCTCTCTCGAAATATCTCAAAAATAATATCGAAAACGCTTTTGCGATAATCTCAATCAGTTGTCACTTTCCATGAAGCATGNGTGTGTGTGTGTGTGTGTGTGTGTGTGTGTGTGTGTGTGTGTGTGTGTGTGTGTGTGTGTGTGTGTGTGTGTGTGTGTGTGTGTGTGTGTGTGTGTGTGTGTGTGTGTGTGTGTGTGTGTGTGTGTGTGTGTGTGTGTGTGTGTGTGTGTGTGTGTGTGTGTGTGTGTGTGTGTGTGTGTGTGTGTTGTGGTAGGTATACGTGCGCGCATGCGTGCGTGCGTGCGTGCGTGCGTGCGTGCGTGCGAGCGTGTGTACGTACGTGTGTGCGTGTATATTTGTATGCGAATGTGTGTGACCGCTCAATGAAGGTGCTTAATAATGATGCAAGGATATTGTCAACGCTATCGATTACGGCCAAGTAAGTTTTTGTGCACGTTCTCTTTCAGACATCACGGTCTGTGTGCAGCGACACTTCAGCAATCGGTCCCAATGTTAAAGGAACCAGGTAGGAAGGAATTTCCTATGCGATAATTAATAGGAGAAACTATCATTTCTAATCGCGTACCTCCTACCAACAATAATTGCATGCATGCGTCGTTGTGATTTTGATTGCCTATCTTAGTCTATGCTTTAGGAATAGTCACGAATGTATGCGAGCCGATTTCCTAGAAAATGTAGAAAAACACATGAGATTGGTGACATTGCGTAATTTCCATCGCAATTTTACGGTTGTATATTACACATGATAAAGTATAGGCCTAAGACTTTATATTACTTACTAAATAGTATCAAATAATGGGAATAGAACTTTACGAATTTGATTAATTATATATACATATATATCAGATATATATATATATATATATATATGTGTGTGTGTGTGTGTGTGTGTGTGTGTGTGTGTGTGTGTGTGTGTGTGTGTGTGTGTGTGTGTGTGTGTGTGTGTGTGTGTGTGTGTGTGTGTGTGGTAATGATGAGTTCTTGATCGTATATAACAGCATTTTTCATGATTTGACTACTACACTAGTTAACCCTTCACCTCTCCGAACGATTAAAATTACGATATGGGCAGTCACAGTCCAGACCAAGATGTCTCGGTATTTATACGTACCTTGCCAGTTAGTTGGGTCAGTAAGGCCAGTTGCATACCTTTACCACCAACCAGTTGTGAGGAGGCACATGCGGGATTGGTGAAGTCCAGTGTTAGTGCACTATTGTTGATTTCTTCTCTCACTTAAAATGCCAAATGATAAAATTTGACTAATGTTAATAAATAAACAAATAAGCAAACAAATACACAAACACCAACACATTAATATTGAATTATGAATTACATACTAAAGTTATCAATAAAAAAGTAATCATGGTTAAAATCAATATATAAATATAAATATATAATCAAGAGCTAATAATACCTATTATTAATAGCCTATTATTAATACCTATTATTATTAATAATATCTATTAGGTATTATTAGCTCTTGATTTAATCATATTATTAACTATACCATATAACTGATAAAAGCACACACACAGATACACGCACACACATGAGTTATATTGTACCGTGTTCCTAACATGATGTGCGGGAACCCAAGTATATATATATATATATATATGTATATATATTATATATATATATAATTATATACACGCTGCGCCACGATTGCGTTGACTACCTATTTAAAATAGAATTTGTGTGAGACCAAGTTCCTGGTTCCAAGAGGATTTTGTATGACCGTTGCGGCTTACAAACATCATCTGAACGATAACAGGAACCTGACTGTCTGCATTAAAGAACTAGAGAATGTTGCATAGTAAGTCTTTAAATAAATTTGAACACACTATTGACCTGGAGTAGTAATAAATCAAGAGCAGAGTATCGTAGAATAAATTTAAGCACGTATCTCCCACTATTATATGGTTTAAGTTCGTGTCACATTGCTGGTTGCTGCTTTTCCGCTGATTGTAGGATATTCATAAACGACATATATAAGCTAATCTGGAGGCTTTTACATGGTTATAGTCAGAAGAAGGGAGGCAATCTACAGGAAATATTAAAAACCACCGTGGAGAGCTTTACAAAGACAAAGCTTAGTACATCGTTAGAGACGGCAGTCGTGAAACAGCTGAACGATCTGTTTAGCGATGAATGGAAACAAAAGACGTTTGCCGTACGATCGTCTGCTGTCGGTATGTTGCACAGCTAAGGTCTAATATTACCATAGAAATTTGCATGTAAGCAAAGCATCAAGTAATGTTTTTGCACGAAATAAAATATCGTGATTTTTCTGATTATTAATGACAATAATTTGTTGTCTCCGCTGTCGGTATGTTGCACAGTTAACACATCTAACATTGATAATGCTAGTGGAATTTACACCAAAAAGAATTTATGAACGGCATAAAACATCGTGATTGATTTTTAAAAATATTTCTGACTAATATTTACAGGAGAAGATGGTAGTGAAGCCTCGTTCGCGGGGCAGATGGAGACATTTCTTGGGGTCGCGGGCATAAAGGAGGTATTGATGCGCATAGATCGAGCCGTAAACTGTAGTAAATGAGACATACATAACACATATATGCCCCTGCAGTCGACGATTATAGCGTTAGCAATCATAGCTTAACAAGTTAGCCTCCATAAAGCATGCTGGCAGACCGATTTCAATTTTACCTACGCTAATGGCGAAGATCAGGTATAATACTATCAGGTACTACCAAAATTCTTGCGATACCTTTTTTCTCAAAATTGCTACGCTATTATAAAGTGTTTTTACTATTGTGTATTAACAATTACGCGTTACAAGTACCAGCTTTGCAAACGTATTTTATGTAATGACTGAGATCAGCTATATACTACATTTGATAATATTTGCGATACCATTTCCAGATTTGCCACGCTATCATAAAGTGTTGGGCATCCTCATTCACACAGCAAGCTGTTGAGTACAGGAGGTATGATTGTGTCACTTTTAAGAGTATATTCGACTATATATTGAACTATGAAAGCATCCAAATAATAAGTTACATTGTCGTTAACTTATAGACAACACAGTGATAGTTAATAATAAATATAACTGCTGCAGATATAATGGCAAAAACTATTATTACGAGGAAACAAAAACATCACGCAATGTCTTTTGCATTGGAACGTCTTCCGTTCAGGAACCACGGTCAGGTTGTAGCAGCAGATGTTGGCGTCTGCGTGCAGGAGATGGTGAAGGCAGACGCTGCCGGTGTTCTCTTCACCAGAGATCCAGTGTCTGGAAACCCTGGCGTCATGTCCATCAACGTATCGTACGGAATCGGGGAGGTAAATTGACGAAACCATCCTCAATAAATCCAAGAAATTAAAATTAGAACAAAGGCGGGTAGTGAGCGTGAGAATTTGAAAGAGATGTGTAGGTTAGGTGAGGAAGTACAATCCAGCGTAAGACTGCTACTGAAATTCGCCCGGAGGTAGCATTACAACACAGACTACCGAGGTAAGTATCTCTATGCGTATCCCTATAGGAATGATTCCTCCAAACAGGGAATTTAAAATAATGACCAGACAGATAGACCCCAAAATAAGCATAGGAACTGTTGTTCAACATGATAAAGCTAAATCAAGAACAGATATGTTTAAAATGCTTTTGAATCTCCTCATTTATTCCATGCTTCGATTCTGAAATCAAATATCACGAATACATGTAAAAGAATAGATTTACTAAATAGATCGCAGTTTCACTCTCAATCTAATTGAAAATGAGCTATCTTTATGATTTTGAAAACCCGTTATCTTCCTCATTAAAATAATAAATGGATAATAATAGATAATAAATAGATAGAATACCCATAATCGTATTTGCTTCTAGGCGGTTGTCTCGGGAGTGACGGAACCAGATACAATATTCCTGCATCGTAGCTTCTACGATAAGCTTAGCATCAAAGAGAGAATCATAGGAAGCAAGTGCGTCAGAATAGATGTTAGTGGTAAGGGAGATCCCGCGAAAATTATACATATAGTTAAAAATACTATGAACATAAAAAATAAAATAAAATAATATAATTTAATTAACGTACTAACAGCGAAAATCATTGTTTCCACGGGAAGGGCGTAACATGTAACTCATCCGACATTTGTCATCGACAGCTCTCATTATTAGTCTCATTATTACCCGACACAAGTACCATACCGACATAGTATGGGATAACTTAGCACACTTCGAAGCGGGCCTGGCCCACCTCCATTCGTGCGGCTAACTTAGACTTCGTCGTAGACTAGCGCGTATTTAGCCCGGGAAAGCGTGTACATACAGTAAAAACCCGCGTATAAGAACATAGATTTTCCCAAGTTAGCCTCAATATGTTCTTATATAAATAGTGCTT